GGGAACAGCAGCCTCAGCCTTGCGGGGACCCAGTGAGGAGCTGCAGAGGGGAGCTGTCCTGCTACAGGGACGCCCAGCTGGGTGGGGACCTAGATTTACAATGGGCAGCAAGTCCTCTGGCTCTCTGAACCTCAGACTGGGACACCCTGGGGGATCACGTGACGCAGTGTATGCATAGGGCCCAGCATGCCCGGGGCCTCAGCCAGTGTCCCTGGGTGTGGGCAAGAAGGGCCCAGGCCAGGGCAATCGGTGCCACGGGAGCTGGAAGGGCCTCTGGGTTTGGGGCCAGGGCCGAGGCTCTCACAGTGGGCTGGAACTGTCCTCTAGCCGGGGTTCTCATCCTCTGGGACTCATGCCTGTCCCACGGGGAGCAAGGGCCTGGGACAAGGTGTTGGGGGCGCTTCCCTGCTGGACCTTGCATCTGTTCACTGGTTGCTTGAAACAACCCAACTCCCGCAAGACCCCTCTGGTGGCGGCCCCTGGCCTGCAACCTGTCCTTCCACCGCCCTAAAGGCTGGCTCTGCGGGCACGGCCCGGCTCGGGAGGTTTTGCAAATTTGTTAAGTGAATTTGGAAAGAGATGACCACTTGGAGTCAGTTTCACACACTGCCTGCTCCTCATGATGCTGAGATGAGAGTCCTGCTCATGGCTGCTATGTTGTCCTCACCTGTAGCCTCTTGTACCCAAATAAGACAGGAGAGGAGGAGGACAGTGGATAAGAGGGACCAGGAGTCCAGGCGTGGTGGCACAGGCCTGTAATCCCAGCTCTCTGGGAGACAGAGGCAAGAGGACTGCCCGTTCAAGCACAACCTGAGCAATTTAGGGACTTATTGAGTGACTGCTGCGAAAGTTAAAAATAAATAGGGGCCAGGAATATAGCTCAGGACAAAGGCCCTGAGTCCAATCCCCACTACTGTGCAAAGAGAAGAAAAGTAATAAATGGGCGTGGGGAGGGGCTTGAGAGGAGGAGGCTGAGGAGGTCGCCTCTTTGGCCTCTTTCCCCATGGTTGCCCCCTCTGTCCCTCTCTGTCCCTCTCTCTCTCTCCTGTCTGTGCTGTTTCCACATCATCTTCTGCAGACTCCAAACAAAGCGGTTCATCAGGGAACACAAGGGCTGGAAGAAATATGGGTTGAAGGAGGTGGACAGGCCTCTTTCAGAGCTGGAGGCTTGCAAGTGGGCCAAGCCCCTGGGAAAGCTTAGCTGCCCAGGATGGAGGCGTCCCCGGGGCAGCCGAGCCCTGTGTGCTGGCCAGATCCACGGGCAGGACCCAGATAGGGCCGGGCCTCGAGAGCCGCTCCCCACTGCACTGCCTCACACGGCTGTTCAGTTGGCGTCCACCATCATGATCTCCGGCCCACAATCCAGCTGGCAAATGTGCTGCGGGAAGGGGAGCCCCTTCCAGCCCAAATCAGCCCCTGCCTCCTCCCTCCACCCCCAGTTCTGTGCTCCTCTGTCCCCAGAAGCTGCAGATAGAGCTGTGAAGGAGCTTTGCCCAGGCCCGGCGACCACAGACATGACATCATACAGTGTCGGTTCTGTGTCCTGAGGACCAGCGTACCACAGGGCAGGATGCATTTCCTGTGTGGTGTGGCTTATAGCGGTCCTCTCTCTGCTCCACAGCCCTGGCATCCCAGCAGGAAGTCCTCCTGCTCCGAAGCCACTCTCACCTGCACAGGGACGGGGAGGGGGTGGTTACACCTGGCAGACAAGAGCAGGCGCACATGGGCATGTGCTCACTGGCGGGTGCAGGTCCCATGGAAGGCCTCTGTCACCAGGTGTCACAGAACACTATCACCTCTCCAGGGGACAACAGATACCCCGGGCCAGGCTTTATGAAGGCCTCCTCCATCCCTGTAGGAGGCCCAGTGCGGTGAGGGGTTGGGCTACCGACTGCCTCAGGAAAATGTGACCACTCTGTTCCTTCCTCAAAGCCCTTCACCGCCATCTGATGGAAAGCTGCCCCAATGGCTCTGCACATCTATGCTGCCTAGGACAGCCCTCAGAGGTGGTTAGGGACAGGCCTGTGGGGTTGGGGTCGGAGGAGGGAGGGACCTACAGGCCTGTGAGGGAGGTGGGGAAAGCAGGGCCCAGTGGCTGGGCTTGGGACCCATCAGAGCTGCACCCCACATCTCTAACTTGGGGCCTTGGTGGAGTTACTGAAAGCCGCAGTCTGCTGATCTAGAAGTGGGGTCAATGGAACACAACCTGGATGAGCTGCAACTTGGGGTCCTGCCATGCAAGGGAGGTTAGTGCTCTACCACTGAGCTACATCTCCAGTCCTTTAAATTTTTTTTTTTATTTTTAGCAGGCTTGGTGGCCTATGCCTGTAATTCCATCTACTCCAGAGGCTGAGGCAGGACTATCTCCAGTTTAAGGCCAGCCTGGGCAACATAGTGAGAACTTGTTTCAAAAAACAAAAAGGGCGGTTTGAACCCAGGGCCTTTGCACCAGGATTACATACCCAGGCTTGTTTTTGTTGTCATCATCATTGTTGTCTGTTTTTGAGACAGGGTCTGGATAAGTCAGAAAAACTGTACAGGCAGGAATGTATTTTGCAATCCTCCTGCCTCAGCCTCCCAGACTGCTGGGAGTACAGGTGAGAGCCATTTCACCCAGTAAGAATCTGTATTTTTAACAGGCTCTGGGTCCTAGCCTCAGAATCCTGACAATCCACATTCCCATTCAGTGTGGCAGAGGTTCACGGTTTCAGCGGGCTTGTGACACGGGTGGTGGAGCCAGCCCTGCAGTTTCTGAATCTGTATGCCTGGGGCTATGGGCCTGAGGGTTGCTTTTTCACAGGTCTGGAGGCAGACGGTGCTCTCGCTGCGGGTCCCCACGCACAGTCAGATCCACTTCTTGTGAATACCTTCAGGAGGAGACCTATTCCCGTGCACCTACTCATCGGGCAGCAGGCTCAGAGCAAGGCTACAGCGACCTGACTCCTGACCTCTGGAAAGAGACCATGCCTACCAATTCCTTGACCATCTTGTAAAAACCTACACCAGGGTCTCTGTCAGGATGAGTCAAGCTCCAGCAGTAGCTACAATAGAGTTTTTACACAAGAAAAAGACAGTAAATGAAACCCCCCTCAAAAAAAGCCTTTGAGTCTAGGTGTGGTGGCACATGCCTGTAATTCCAGCACTCTGGGAGGCAGAAGCAGGAGATTCTCAAGTTTGAGCCCAGACTGGGAAACTTGGCAACTTTGTCTCAAACCAAAAAATAAAAAAGAACTGGGTATATAGCTTAGCTCCAAGGACCTCTGTTCAGTTCCCAGTACCACCACACACACACACACACACACACACACACACACACACACACACATGCACACAGGGCTTTGGGAAGGGAGGTCCCCTGACTTTTCTAATTGGCTCCAGGAAGACTTTCCAGGACAGAGAAGCACAGCCCAGGAGCAGGAAGGGCGCAGGCTCTGCGGGAAGGGCAGGGCAGAGGCAGACCCCAGGGCTCTGGGCACAGAAGGGGAAGGCGCGCTGCAGGTGTCCCCAGGCACCGGTCTGTCAGTGCTGCCCAGGTCATCGGGGGCAGGGGCAGGGAGGTTGGGCCAGGCTGCAGCTGGGGTGG